GCGCGTAGCCCGGTGTCGGGCACCTCTCCATGATGGCTTGGGCCCACGCTCCTGTCCCCTACAGCGTGTGCTCAGGGGGCTGAGGTTGAAGATGCCCCCTAAATCTGCTCATCACCCCTCATGGGCCTGGCGGTCCCTGCACATTTGGCTCCAGATTGGGGTAGTGCCTGTGCCCCTCGCACATCTCTGCCTCCCGCCGGCAGCCATGGCACGGCAGCACGGAGCGAGGCCATGCCCCAGCACGGATGACCCAGGACGTCAAAAAAAGTCCTGCTGCGGCGCCTTCGGCCGCCCCAGAAGCTGGGGAGCCCCGGGTCAGGTCTGATGCAGAATGCTGCAATTAGCGCAAAACCTGAGCTGCTCTGTGCTGTTTGGGGAGCTCAAGGGGAAACTGGTTGTCCTCTGTTCGCCAGCTTGGGCAGCAAGCTTCCACTTCTGAGGTTGGATTTTCCTGCCTCTGATTCAGCTCTGCCTGCGACTCGCTCTGCTAGCAAAGACTTTTTCACCTTGCTGGTTGCTTGGCCCTGGCTTTGCCCTTGAGCAGTGGCAGGAGCTGAGCCTTTGGCTGGCAGCACGGTTTCTGCTGGAACAAGGTTGTGCTGTCAGGTTTCTCTTGGGCTTGTGCCTGTCTTTCTACCTGTCCCCTGATGATATGGGCTGAGCTTATCAGCCGTCTTCCGCCCAACCCGACTGAAGGCAGTGATGGGCAAGGTCAGATGCGTCCGTAGGGGAAGGGAACAGGGCATCAGGAAGAAGACGGTGTTTGTGCCCCACGAGGTTCCCCAGCAGATTTGAAGGAGCAAACCCTCGGGGACTGTGGTGGTGCTGGCTTTGCTGCTCACACAGCTGCTTCTGCCCGCTCCCGTGTCGCTGAGCTCAGCCCTGATGCCATGCATTTACCTTGAATCTCAGCAGGTGCCCACAGCGGTTGCTCTGAACCCTTGGGAACGCTGCTGTGAAACAAGGTGGGTGATCAGGACCCACATCTACCTGCCCAGACCTCCGGGGCGCAGCACCCTGCTCCCTGCACCAAGGGGTACGCGTCTCCTGCCACATGCAGGAGGAACACGTCCAGAGACGGGCAGCGGAGCTGGGGAGGGGTCTGGAGCCCCAGGCTGCTGGGGAGCGGCTGGGGGAGCTGGGGGGGTTCAGCCTGGAGCAGAGGAGGCTGAGGGGAGCCCTCATCGCTCCCTACAACTGCCTGAGAGGAGGGGGGAGCCGGGGGGGTCGGGCTCTGCTCCCAGGGAAGGGGCGATGGGACGAGGGGCACCGGCCTCAAGTTGTGCCAGGGCAGGGTGAGGTTGGCCATGGGGAACAATTCCTTCCCCTTGGGGCTGTCAGGGGCTGGAAGGGGCTGCCCAGGGAAGGGGTCGAGTCCCCAGTTCCAGAGGGAAACGCTTTATGTGGTATAATCAAAACAGATTAAAAAAAACCCATGGATTGAAATAGATGAGATCTGTATAACAAAGAAAATGGGAACTCTGTCACAGGGCTGTGGTTTGAGCGATGCATGGGAGCTTTTGGTGGGTAGTTCCTGCAGGGTGTTGAGGATTGCTGCCATGGGCAGCACTTACTGCAAGAGGAGGGGGCTTGGGGACGGGGGACTGGAGCCCCGTGGCGGTGGCGCGGGGCTGGGCGGTGCTGGTGCTTCAGAAGCAGTCGCTTCGCAGGGGCTGTGGCAGGTCTGACTCGCTCATCTGGAGGCTGAGCTCTGTTGAGCTGAGGGTGGCAGCCGGGCTGCGCGGCTGGTGCCCCTCGGACACGCTGTACTCCTCGTCACGCTGCTGCCGGAGGTGCCAGAGGATGTTTTTGGACAAGAAGTGGGTCTCCGCTTCACCTGGCTCTGGAACAGAGGAATGACAAACCCCACCTTCGCTGGTCTGGCCCGAGGCAGAGAACGGAGCAGAGCCTCTGGGAGATGCCCCAAAGTATGCAGAACTCCCTGAGAAGTCAAAATATGGTCTTTATTCCTCCTTTTCAGCATGCCAGAGGAACGAAAATAAAACAGAAAATGCAGGAAAGAGAGTAAAATACAGGCAGTATGTGCTGGTTTCCCGGCAGTGCCTTTTGGAAACCACTTGGGAAGCTTGATGGGAACTACCTCGCTGGATAGAAATGCCTCTCCCCATCAGGGTGAGTGTTGAATTTCTGCTGGAATACACTGAGATCCGTTTTCAGCAAGCAGCAGCAAGCTGCTTTCAAACCCTGCTGCCCGGGCAGAGGTAAGGAGAAGTGAAATTAAAAGGAAGAAGGGATAGACTCGCTCCTCCTCATCCCCCGTCAGGAGGAAGGTGACTGAGCCAGCACCCGGCCCGGTGCCGGGGAAGGCTCCACAGCCCCAGCCCTTCCTCCCAGGAGGATCAGCAGCGACGGGAGCTGCTCCTTCCCCAGGAAGCCCGCTGCTGTGCTTAATGGTCACGGAGCGTTCTTAGTGCCCCAGCGGAGGGCTGCTTGTCGCAGGTGCCCCGGGGGACTTCAGCAGGGACCGGCTCTGCCAGCGTCCTGCCCCGTCCTCCGAGACCCACAGCGAGAAGTCCTTTGTGTTGGGAAGCGGCTCCTTCCTCCCACCGCGGCAGGGACCCCCGCGCCTGTGTGACTGGGGATATCAGCCACGGATCCTGCCTGCTTCCCCTCGTTTGCCCCCTTCCGAGGCCACCCAAGAGGCTGCGGGAGCGCTGCCACCACGCTGGGCACCCCTGCCCTCTTCCCCTCCCACTCACCCTCGTACACGATGAGCCGGTAGGTGCCCGCGCACTCCTTGGAGCCCTTCAGGATCTCCTCCAACGTCCTGTAGAAAAGCTTGGCCTGCTCCAGGCGGTCCTCCCGGCTGAAGGCGGCACACTCATCCTGGGACATGGCGTAGAGGGACTGCAGCGGCGTGGCGTACTCCACCGCACAGTGCCAGAGCTGCAGGGACGGAAGAAAAAGAGATGGGGGCAGGAGGACCAAGCGCCTGGCGAAGGGCTGCCGGGGGATCCTGGTGTGGGGCAGAGCCCCCAAGACCCCCTCGGCAGCTCCGTGCCCTGCCCTGCACTGGTGCTGTGTGCTGGACACCCGGGACAGGGCTGCTGGTTCTGTGTGGAGCGGGGACAGAGCAGCGGCCTGGCAGTGGGCAGGTACGGCCGTGGCCCCTGCGCCGGGTGGGCTCGGGGGCTGCCTCCCTCCCGTGGGGGCCCAGGGTGCAGCCACTGCCTTTGGCAGCACTGGGGAGTGATTTTCCCCGTGGAGTTTGGTCCTCCCTGGAGACGCCCCTGTCCCGCCTCCGATCCCACCTTCTTGGTGGCTTTCCTGCTAGAGAAGGGGAAGTCTGAGCATCTAATGGAGAGCAGGAGAGCGGAGAAGAGGACACAGGCTGGCATTCCCACAGCTGGAAGGAGGCTGCTCAAACAAACGAGAGATTCGTTAAGGCTATAAATGTTCCAAGGAGGAGCAGGGTTACCAGTAAGTCTTATACTGGGCAAACTGGAAAGTTTAATAAAGTGTATTAGCAGGAAGAGGGACGGGATCCCTGAGTAAATGCGGAGTACCGGGAATTGCTGCCAGCCATGGAGGGCAGTTCCCGCAGCAGCGCTGAGGCTGGGAGCTTGCATCGCTGCCAGCGCGTGTTCACCGGCAACCGGGCAGCAAGCTGGGGGACGGGTTCTGCTGCCGACACGGCAGTGGGTCCGGACAGGTCCGGGCTGCAGAGCTGCTGGAGCTCGCTTGGTGCCAAGCGGCTTAGCAGGAGACCGGCAGATGAAACGCAGCCTCAGCGAGTGCCTCGTAGCGGGAAAAACCCCTGGAGCGGGGCCAAGGAAGAGCTTCTGGAGTCCCTGCAGGCAGGGCTTTAAAAGCAGCAGCTCAGTGCTCAGCCACCATCGAAGGAGGAAAAAAAAAAAGAAAAAAGACCCAGGCGAGAAGCATCGCTCAGGCGATGCCTCCATCCCGCGGCCGTGTCATCAGGAGCAGCGCGTTCTCCTCGGGGGGGGGGGGGGCAGGGGCCGCCCGTCTGCCTGGGGGTGTGGAGGGAGACAGAGGGATGTGGGGCTCGTCAGCCCGGAAAAGAGGTGACTGGGGGAAGGGGAGGGAGTCAAATTGTAGTGACCGACACAGGCATTTTCAAGCGCCTCTTCACAACAAAAGGAAATATTTGTTCATCCCATGGGAAGTGATGCTCTGGACCCCGCATCTGCTTTTTTTCTGCTCAGTTTTCTGCTGTTTTCTGGACTTAAATCAACTCCAGGAGGGGTTAAGTGAGCCCAACATCCCTGCAAGGGCTGAGCCTGGGAGGAGGCAGCCAGGAGGAGGGGGTGCAGATGGCCGGCACGGACAGGACCTCTCCATCTTGCAGAAGCCTGCTGAATGCTGGGGGTATCTAAGAGGAGAGGGGACACTGTCCCGCCCTTACGGCCACTTCTGGGCCAGGATCTGAGGCCAGGAAGGCCTTTGGGTTGATGCATGCTGGCTGCTCTCCCCACTGCTGCACTCTGTACCTTGTTGCCTTCATCCCTGATGGCGTAGAGGCTGTGTTTGTAGACCCTTTTTTTGGTGCCAGCTCGGGTCAGGGTGGTTTCAGTGAGGTCTGTCAGGTACTGGATATTGCTGTCAGCTTTCTCCAGGTCATCATAGACATCGCAGCTCAGAGGGACCAAGATGTGGAGCTTCCAGGTCTCCCTGTGCGTCAGCACGGTGGGGTTGGCTCTGCTGAACTCCTCCATCGACTTCTTCAGCCCTGGTGGAAGAAAACATCGGGCAGAGTTGCCTGGCGTGAGCGCAGCTGCCTTCTGCCTCGCTCCCCGCTCCCCTGCTGCCACTGTAAAAGTGGGAGGGTTGTTATTAGGAGCTATTTCTATCTGCAGGCACGGTAATGCGGGGAACCAGCTACGTACGTGGCAGGACTATTTTTAGGTACCCAATGTAATAAGACCAGGCAAGCCCATGAGCGACGTTCTGCTTGGACCTCTCAGACATCTCAGACATTTCCACTGCTGAGGGCTTCTGCAGAGGGAAGGACAGACAGACCAGCGGTGATGAAAGCAGCCAGCCGGGCTCTTCTGCAGCAGTTGGTTCTCTACAGGGATTGGGAGCAGCCACCCTCTCCAAAGAGGTCAGGAGAGCGAGCAACCCCACTGCCCCTTCCACCACCACGTCGGGCAGCAGGGCCAGGAGTCCTCGATGGCCACACAGCCCCAGCAGATGAGGAAGCTGATGCCGGAGCCAGCCGGACACGTTTCTGGCTGCCTCCTCCATTGGGATTGCATGTCCCAGTGCAACTCGTGCACCTGCCCAGTGCTTCCAGCATGTGGGAGGAGACATCCCAGTACCTGGTGGTGGGATTTCAGGGGCCACCGGTGGCCCCTGCCAGCTCTATGTGTTCATTTAGGTGGGAACGGGTGTTGAAATCCCACAGGCACCTGACAGCTGCCCGCCCCACAGCTCCTTTCCGTGGCCCCTCTCCCCTTCCAGCTCTGCTGGGGTAAAGCAGAGCCCTCCCAACACCGCAGAGCTCCCTGGAGCTTGGCTCTGCCACCCACAGCACGCCTGATAATTAACCCTTTGGAGACCGCACCAGCTGCCCTTCCCTCCAAGCACCCGCTTGGCTGGCAGAATTAAAGATACCCCTGGTTTTTGTGTCAGCGGGGCTCTGGCTGCTGCAAGGC